TCCAACTCATTTTATGGCCCTCTGACAAATTTGGATTATAATTTAATTATGTGATTATAAATTTCTTATTCTCCTATCATCTAGTGTAGTTGGACCTCTGTATCCATGGATTCCACATACATGGGTTCAACTCAACATGGACTGAGAATATTAAAAAAAATGGACAATTGTGACTGTACTGAATGTGCACAGACTTTTTTCTTGTCATTATTTTCTAAACAATATGGTGTTAGAACTGCTTGCATAGCATTCACATTACATCAGGCATTTTAAATAATCTAGAGATGATTTAAACTATATGGGAGGGTATGCATAGGTTATATACAAATACTATGGCATTTTACATAAGAGACTTGAGCATCTGCAGATTTTGGCATTCACAGGGGTCGTGGAATCAATCCTTCATATACAGAGCAATGACTGTATACCTTTACACATTTTAGATGCCTAATATTGGCCCTGTTGTATTGGTCCTCATTGGGACTTGTACTGTTTGGTTTTCTTTACCTGCTCTCCTTTCTCGTTTCTTATTCCTATTGTTTGGTGCTGCCAGAACTGATGATTTGGTCAGAGACACTAGGAGATTTGACAGAAAGAAGTCAGTTAGAAAGAAAATCCAGAAGATAACCTAAAGGTCTTTGTTGACTTAGTAGAGGAAAAGTGGAAGGGGTCTTATACTTACCAGAGAAGGGTGACTAGGACAAAAGCTGGGAGGGAGGTCCCAGTGGTCTAGGCTTCAGAGACACATGATGAGGCCTACAACTAGGGACATGACCAGAAATGGCCTGGTCTAGACTACTTTTCTTGGTATTCTGCTCCTGAGTTACTGAGCACAGAGTTAAGTAGAGAATGACAGGAGGGAGGCAGGAACTCTTGCCCATGCAGTTGATTTCTGGGATTTGGAGTCAACTATTTTTTAGCATAGTATACAGAAGCAATGGATTAAGTTTTAGAAACTGATGGCGTCTTAGAGATCTTCTTGCCCCAAATTTTACCTCGTTAATGAGAAAACTAAGTCCATGAAAAGTCAAACTAAGCCTCCTGGCTCAGTTCTATATGGAACTGTGGAATACCAGTCCTATGCTTTTTATCCATATTTACTCAGTTGCATAAGAGAGAATAGCCCAGGGTAAGAGGTTAGGTTTTATTTTAAATGAAGTTCAGAAGCTATGGAAGGGAAGTAATATGATCTGATACACAGTTAAGAAGACAACTCCTGCTGTGTGGAGAACAAACTGGCAGAGAAAGAGTGGAAATTGAGAGAGCAGTTAAGAAGCGATTTCAGCAGTCCCAGAATGAAATGATTATGACTGGAAGATGAAGATGGAGAGAAGCAGATGTATTTTTAAGTTAAAAACCTGTAAGACTTGATGAATTGGATGTGGTACACAAAAATATAGAACAAATAAAGTATTTATGGCTTGAGCAACTAGGTGGATATAGGTATAATTTCTAAGATAGAGAAATGGGGAAGGGTGAGAGTATGATTCAGGGCTAGGAGGGTTGAGGTGGAGGGACAGTGGGGAGGAAGTTTGGGTAGTAAATGAAGACTTACTTCCGTTTGCCGTAATATCAACTGCTGAAATTGCCTTTCCTGGAGCATGGTTTGTTTCCTGGCATCCTGCTAAATACTATAAGGCACTTTTTTTGCCAACAGAATACTGAGCATAAAGGCATGATAAAGTGTTTTTATTTTATTTTGTTTTATTTTATTTGAGACAGGCGAACTCTGTTGCCCAGGCTGGAATGCAGTGGCACAATCATGGCTTACTGCAGCCTTGACTTCCCAGGCTCAAGTGATCCTCTCACTTCAGCCTCCGGTAGAGTAGCTGGGACTACATGAATGCACCACTGAACCTGGATAACTTTTGTATTTCTTGTAGAGAAGGAGTTTCACCATGTTGCCCAGGCTTGTCATGAGCTCTTGGGCTCAAGCAATGCTTCTGCCTCCAATTCCCAAAGTGCTGGGATTATAGTACTGAGCCACTGCACCCAGCCTTACAGCCTTATCAGTCTTCTACTTTAGGAAGATAAAGCTAAGAAGATAAGGTAGGGAAATAGCTACCACTTCTGTTTGTCTTTCATCCATGTAGAAATGGAATTAGAAATCCTTAGCATTCCTGTAGTCTAGTTTCTGAGAGCCTTAAGTTGTATCTACTGTAAGAGAAAGGGTGAAAGGACTTTTTGACAAATGTGCTGAGGGAAACGTAAGAAGGTAGGTCATCCCTGTCCAGTTTGCTGTTGCCATTATTACTGATTCTACAAATAATAAATGCTTTTTGGGATCCTTCTAAATCCGTGGCCTTTTCAAGGCATAGGAGATCAAGGCATAGGAGATTGCAGAGAGGAAAACAGAATCTTTGCCTTTATGGAAGCTACCTTCTAGAACATTGGTTATGTCAGTGCCCTGTTCAAAAACTTTCGTTAGTTCTTTGACAATTTCAGCAGCATACAGTATAGCCCTCTGCTGAAATCAGACACATGACTTGATGTCACCTACACTTGTATTTTCACCTCCATGCCTTTGCTTGTGCTATTTCTGTCACCTTCCTGCCTTCTCTGTTTTAAGTTAGCTAATCTGATCCACTCAGGACTGATATTCAGTACCACAGGGGTGTACTGGCCAGCATTCAGTTCTGATTAACCCTGCGCTCACCCTTCCAAGTGTAGGTACCTCAGTTCTTCTTGAACCCTCTTTTATGTCACCTTCTCAGCCTTCAGTGATGTCGTCTTCATTTGAACTTATGGTGCTCACAGATTTATATCACTTATTTCACAAATAAGTGAAGTAAGCTCACAGATTTCCTTATGACATCTGGCATACTTTTTTGCATGTTGTTTTCATCTTTATTTACAATTTTATTTATGTTTTTGGCTTTTATTCCTGAAATAAATGGCAAGTCCCTTGTGCAACTCAGGCATTAAATATGCTTTTATTAATTGTTGGATGCACTCAGCATCTCATAACTGTCTGCTGGAGACTTAAAGTGGAAAGGGGCCCCATTTGCTGATATTTTGTGTCACTGTGTCCATCCGTAAGCAATTCCATCCTTCATGGCCTTTCTCCACCCCCAGCTCCTGTCTCAGAGTCCTCCCTCATCACCTCAGGGTTGCAGGGGCATTACCATGCCAGCACCCCTTAGGATGCTTGGCTAGTTTTCTGCGTTAAAAGGACAGTGGGACGTCTTGCTTGCCAGCCAATTTAATGCAGGCTGACACTTCTGGCACACTGAATTAAGGTGGAGGAGCCAACAGCCCCAGAGAAGAGTCCATTTCTATGGAGATTAAAACAAGAAAATGACAGAGCACAAAACACTTTTATTTCTTTCTTATACTTAAAAATAAAGAAGATAGTAATTAAACCAGGCCAGAAGATGAGTTCTGATTGTTAATTGCTGAGGGAGATGCATTATTTTAATTTATCCCAGTTCATTTGCAGAACTAGGCAGACAAGGTACATATTTTGTGCTCTAGCCCATGAGACGATGCTGACAATTTGAGAATTAATCATTTTTGTATGTTCCAGATTTGCTATTTTAAAAGTGTAACTGCAATAGTATTTTTCCCCTTTTGGGTAGAAGCTGAGGGAAAGTGTTGTAGCATTTTATGTAAGAGCATGAGGTTACAGGGCCCTGACTTTCATAGGGCAGAACTGGCTTACAGATTTACTAAAATAATTACCAAATTATTTAATAGATCTTGAATTCTGAACTCATAGTTTGTTAGTCGAATCTTCCAACTGAATAATTATACATAGAGTCCTAGAACAAGGGCCTCCATGGAGCTCTGTTAAAGCATTTAATATTCCCATTTCTAATAGTAAATCCATGTGGGCATATAGTAGCATGCACTGATGAAACTGACTCGTTGGCTATAGAGGTAACATTTGATGCATTTTGGATAATGCTTTGGAAGTAATGATAATGTCAAGTGTAGAAGGGCTCAGCTCAATGAACCCATTAATCAGCCCTTTGTTGAGCACCTCCAGAATGCAATGCACTGGCCTGGGAACCATGAAGGATGAGGCACAAGACAGATTTCATTCCTCTAACTGAACATTTAAATATTCTGGGAAACTTTCAAAAATGCAGATGCCTAGGTTACACTCTAGACATGTATTTAAAAACTCCTCAGGTGATTCTGATATTCATCCAGTGTTGAGAACTACTGGTATAAAGTATAGTTTTGTTTTCAAGGGATTTGGAGTCTAGCTGGGAATATAGGACTAATTGGGAATATAGATGTATAGTATATATCTATCACTCTGTTTTTAGCCCCTTACACAGATACTATACGATAAATTTCTAGGGAGAGGCATGGACAACATAACTACTGTATTTAAGAGGGGATCAGATCACAGGAACAGAGGCTGGGTTGTCATGGGAGAGGTGGAATTTGAACCTAGGCTCTTAGGGCAGGTAGGATATAAATAAATAAATATAGAGGAGATGTCAAGGCATTCTGAGTGGAAGGCAGAAATAAACTAAGCTTGAAGGTAGGAGTGTATAACGTATGTGCCAAGTACTAATTGGATATTAGTTGAAAGTAGTAAGAAAGTAAGTAGTGGAAAGTAGTAGGAAATCAGACACCTGCACAGGGTCTTGAGCCCAAACATTTGAGGTTTGCACATGTCACTACATAGCTTCTTACCTTGACAAATTATTTTACTTCTTTAAGCTCCAGTTTCCACATCTGCCAGATATTCATAATAATAGTTCCTACTGGGTTGTTTAGATCCAGTAAGGTAATGTATATATGAGCACTTGATTAACTGCAGAGCTCTACCCAATGCTGGCTATCGTTACTGTCTTTTGGAAGGGGAGGCATTAATAGAGCATAGAAATGACATAAAAAGTTTTAATCTTTCATCCTATTTACTTATGAGTGAGCAAAATAATGGCTAAAAATAAATATTTATCATCACTGAATTACTTAATGTAACTGTGTTTAAGGATTTGGAGCTCAGCCTTCAAAAAAGAAGATTATCCTAACTACCCCTCATGACTACTGCAGAGGCTATGGCTGAAAAAGCAAAATGTGAGTATCTATGCTTACCTAACAACTTGATGTACAAGTCATAACACTTCAACTGTTTTAACTAATGTTTTCTATTAATTTGTGACTCTCAGAGCACCACACTGTTGGCACATCTTGAAAGGATTTATTCCATTCCCTTTGTTATAAATAACTAACTTTTGAGAGATCTTTTTAACTTATTGTGCTGTCCCATATGGTATTCACTTTTCATATATGGGCTATTCAGTCCTTGAAGTGTGGCTGGTAGAAACTAAGGAACTGAATATTTAGTTTAAGTTTAATGAATTTTAATGTAAAATTAAAAACGGATAATTCAGTTACTGGAAAACTTTAAGCATGTTTGGAACAAATTTGGGCACATAAATCTATTTTTTTCAGGAGACTATTTTATAAAATTTAAATACAGGTTAAGTAGTTCTGATAAAAATTTAACATCTGAGTTGAGATGTATATAAGTACAAGCAAATTACATACAGAGTTTTGAAGAACAAAAAAGAATGTAAAATATCTAATTCATTTTTAATATTGATTAATGTTTAAATGGTAATGTTTGGTTGCATTTTATTTAAATAAAATAGTCTAAAAATTATTATGTTATATAAATGAATTTCACCTTTTTTGTATGTCTACTTGAAAGCATTTAAATTACATCTAAATTACATATTCAGTTTATATTGTATTCTTTTTCACCTTTATTGGGGTATAATTTACAAATAAAAATTGAATATATATGAAGGTGTACAACATGCGTGTCAACATACATACACACTGTAGAATTATTTCCACTATCAAGCTAATTATATCTATTACTTCACATATTTAGCTTTTTTTCTGGTGTGATGAGACTACTTAAGATCTTTCTTTTAGCAAATTTCAGGTATACCACACATTATTATTAATTACACATTGTATTTCTTTTAGAGTTGAAATAGACTTGGCAACAAGACAAGCAATCCTAACATATAGTACTGCACAAGAGCTGAGGTTATTATTGTTCTGCTACTTCCTCTTGGCTCCTGTTACCCCTGACAGTATATGATACAGGCCAGCTGGCATCTGCCCAGGGCTGCCAATAGAGCTCTGTGATGATCACTTTAACTCTTTTTATTTCGATACCACAGAACATTTTTGAGATGAGAAGGTCAGAGAGGGTGGAAGATCCAGGAAGTAGAGGAGGAATATTCTCTAGTTTCATTTTGCCTTAGGTCATGCCCACATGACCTTGATGTTATGAGCTTGCCATTTCCCTCCATCTCCATAGCAACCTGGCCACAGTCTGAGAAATATTAACATAGAATATTTTTGGGCAGTACCCTGTAAAAGCTGTCTGAGGTATATATGAAAATTATTAGCATTTTACCCTGTAAAATCTGTCTGAGGTATATATGAAAATTATTAGCATTTCTTGGTGCAAAGAAGGCAAGATACTTTGTTAAAGAAGAACAAGGAATAAGGGCGGGGGAAAGTGAGTCAGTAAGAGACAACTCAACAGTGTGCCTTTAATTTAGAACTGAAGAGTTGAGTCTTAATACAGAATGTATTATGGGAAAAAATGTTGAATATGTGTTTTAGGAGTTGATAACCAGATACCACTTGAAATTTGGGTTTTATTTGGTTCTTATCTCTTTTTTAGGAAGAAATTAGAAATAATTTATGTTTTCTTCACTTACATGTAATGAAATTAATTCAAAGTATTGTATTTGAAGTTTTTGTCCAAAGAGCTTCTATTCAGTTTCCAGGTTCCATAACTCTTTACCCTAGAACTGATGGCCTTAATTCCAGCTTCTCTCCTCTCTAGCTTCTCCTCTCTCCATCTTCTCCCACTTCTCAGCACTCCAACCCTTCTCTCCATCTGAACTTGTTTGCAAGTAGGTTCTTTCCACAGATGCACTGTTATTCAGACCTTTATTTGTTTTTTGCTCAGTTGGTGTGTATTTACTTTTCAGCAAAGAAAGTCTGCAAAATAAAACTTAGGAAGAGCTCAAATATGTGAAACAGATAAGATCTGGGCTCTGACTGAAAGAAGGAAGCACCCCCATGGCACATGAACTTAATGAAGCACTTTAAATTTAAAACCACTGCCTAAGCCTGGCTTCCATTCACATGTCATTTCTCTTGGGATATTTCTGTTTTCAATATTAATTTCAATAATACAGTGTGAAGCTTTATCTTTTTAAAGGGATATTCATTAGTGAGCTAGTGGTAGGGGGTGTTGGTGGTTGTTGGCTTTTATCACAGTATCCATCTTAACTGACTGTCATGGCATTTATTTACACATTTTTTTCTTGCACTAGACCCTTAAGCACTTGGAAAGCAGAAATAGTCTTATTTATTTTAGCACATTTAGCATCAAAACAGCATCTAGCACTTAGTAGATATGTAATAAATATGTGCTAAACTGAGTCCTATTGTGTCTGAGGTGGGGCTTTTGTTACACCTGTCAGACATTTACCCTAATTGCATACATAGTGTTGGCCTTAGCCATGTGGCCATACATCTTTGCTTAAGATTATTTTTAAAATAAATGTTTGTGAAGCCTCTCTGAAGAATGTAGCCTATTAATGGGAAGGATGGAAACCCTCTGAGTATGGCCGGTTATTTTTATTATGATTATGAAAAACAAATGCTTTTAAACCCCTGGGTCTTCTTGGATACAGAAAAGACTTAATGATTCTAATTAAGAGAAGGCTTATTTTTTTGTCATAGTTTCCATAACTAGATTTTCTTTTTGTATCTTCACTTCAGAGGTTCACTGGAGCAACTATGTAGAACCTCTAAGGTAGTAGATAAACCTGATTTTATGAACCATCATTACAATCATGTTAAGCTGATGTTATATGAAAAATGAGGGGTTTTTTAAAAGATAAAATAAATGTATGGAAATGTTTTAGGCTAGTGAAATATTTGGGATTAGAGGTTCTCATTTTTTTTCCAATGGAAATGTTAGTATTTGCACTCTTGTCTTAGATGAGTTTAATATGACCGTTTCAACTTCTTCATGAACTTTATTGCAAAAACATTTATTATTGCTTATAATGACTTGCCATTGCTTTTGGGGGTTTTAATAACATGAAGAATAATATGTATGAAAATATTTTATTAACTGCAAACATGTTAATTAGTTTTGGATAAAAGGAATTTTAATAAGACAATTTATCCAATCTGCATTAGACAGTTATCTTTGTGATTTTGAAGAAATGAGGGTTGACTAAAAATATAATTATATAAACACTGTTGGAGAAACACTGTTGCTATCATTAGCCCAATGATAATTATACAATAATACCAAAAATAATAAAATTTCTCACATTTATTGAAAACTTATTTTGTGTCAGGTGCTGTGCTGTTTTGTAACAATGTTTAAGTTAATCTTCAGACAACTCTCTGTGGCATATATTATTATTATCCTCATTTTACAAATAAGAAAAATAAGGCTTAAGACAATAAAGTTCATGAGCAAATTGTAATTCAAACACAAAATAGAGTGACTCAGGAATATGAGCTGTTAAAAACCAATCTATATACCCTCAATATGTACAAATTAAGCCATAAGTATAGTTTTCATAATACAGAAGGAACATACCTTAGCAACTTCCTCAAAATAATATATGAAGTGCACTTGAATGTGTAAAAGATGCAAACCTATATTCTTGCCTCATTATGAACAAAGAAAGAGAAACCTTGAATATTATTGACTGGATGGAGATTTAATATAAATGTTGTTTAATTTCTTGTAATTTTTAGACTCATTTGTTGAATAGTTTCATGTCCTTGGAAATTATAAAAATAAATGATTCTAGCATTGCCTTTCTAAGGCATGGAAGTATGAGTACCTTGTGCTAGCTTGTAAATTTAACGCTTTTGTTCAAGGCTACTTTTTAGTACTGGTAGAAAATCAGAACAGGTACCTCAGTGCCTCACATGACAACAAGGGCTCAGGACTGCCAGCTAGAAGTCAATGTCCACATGCCTTCATTGGAGCCATTTCAGGATCTATGTGAAACTGCTGCTCTCTGGCCGTGGCTGACTTTCTCTGCTCCTTTATGAACAGTCTCAGGCCTTGTTCTTCTCAATAATCTGATGGCCTGACCGTATGGGTATGTTGTGACAGTACCTTGACATGTCAAGATCTGCTTTCTGGCCCCAACAAGGCCATTCGCGCTGCCAGAGCGCATATAGTTTCTCCATGGTCCACAGGTGATGAGTGGCACTTGTGGACAGGGGAAATCACAGACTCATCAAGGAAGATCCCAGCAAGAAAGAAAATGCTACCTTGGGAATTAAACTCCTCTGTCAAAAGCTAATTTCTAGTTACAAAGGAGGAAATCGAAACAGCTGCGTCAGCACATTACATGACAACAAGAGGTGGGAGTGCTGGCTTAAAATCCGTATGTCAGGGAAACGTGCATATCTCACTAGGGTGACCAGCCAAGTTTCAGAGGAATTTCTAGTACTTATAGGCAGTACATGGCATCAGGAAAAGCAGCAGATGTGTAGAAAAGGGCAGCGAGGAACTCAGGAGCACAGTGCCTACACAGCCTTAACACTGCTATGTGACTTCAGCAGGCTGTCAGGTCTCTGCATCTCAGAACTTTGCCTGTAAATGAAGACTAGATCATCTCTAAGGCCTTGTCTGAAATGAAGACATGATGGTTTCCACAAAGCTACATCTTCAACAACAACAACAATGGAAAACCAGTGAATTAATACATTAATGACATTAATGAATTATATTGATTGTCATGTGCATGACACATGACAATGTTGTAATTATAAGTGATTGTAATTAAAGTACTTGTAAGAGATATTTGAATAGTCTGAAGAAAGGAAGAAAAGAGGAAAGTATTGTCATGAGAGAAGGAAATGGAGGACAAGTTGTGAAGTCACAGCTAGGAATAGCTCTCTGCCTTTCCGCCATGAAGTAAATGCTCTGGCTGGAGGCCTCCTCAAAGCAAAATTAGGTTTCAGTTAAAATTTGATGAAACAATTTTAATTCCAGAACTCTTGCCCTTTCCATGTGAGGACAGTGCTTCTTATGACTTTGAACTGGGAAATTAATATGAACCTGGCTTCATTCCTTAGGACCTTATTACCCCAAGGTAACAGCTACCTATGGCCTGTGAGTCTACCTGATGAAAAGCAAGGAGATATTTTGTGCAGGAATAAAGAGACAATTTTACCTTCAGTAATTTATTATGAAATTTTCAAACTTGAAAGAATTTTAAATCAATGCCCATAAGCTTACTACCCGGTTCTTACCATTAATATTTTACTATACTTGATTTGTCACATACCCATCCTTCAGTCGACATGCATATCATTAGTTAGAATTCATTATTTGTTTATAGTTTTTCTTCTTTTGATGTAAAATGTGCATACAAGGAAATGCAGAAATCTTAAATGTACATTCATTGAGTACACTCAATGATAATATATGCCTATGTAATCCAAATTCTTATCAAGATAAAGAACATTCCCATCTCTCCAGAAAGTTTCTTCATGGCTCTTCTCAGTCAATCCATCATACCTCCCAGCAGAATAACTGTTCTGTTTGTTTTTTCCACCGTAGAGTAGTTTTATCTGTTCTAGAACTTCATATAAGTGGAACCATATAGTATGTGCTTTTTCGTATAAGTCTGCTTTAACTTGGCATATTTTTGAAATTTATCCATAGTGTTGTACATGTCAGAGGTACCTCTTTTTTTATTGCTAAGTAGTCTTTTATTGTACACATATACCACGGTTTATCAACTCCCCTAATGTTACATATCTGGGCTGTTTTCAATTTAGAATTATTATGAGTAAAGCTACTATAAACATTCTTGTACAAGTATTTTATAAACATACATTTTCATACTCTCTGGTAAATACTTAGGAGTGGAATTGCTGGGTTGCAGGATGGGTGTATATTTAGCTTTATAAGAGATTGCCATACCTTTTCCAAACTGATTATGCTATTTTTCATTTCCACCAGCAATACTTGAGGGTTCCAGTAGCTCTACAGCTGCATCCACATTTGGTGTTATCAGTCTTTTAATTTTAGCCATTTTGGTGAGTGTAGTGGTATCTCATTATACTTTTGAGTTACATGAAGATTGAGTTTTTAATTGCTTAACATATGTGTGGGTGAAGAGGAGAGAAAACCTTCATAGTAAGAGTACTAAAGAAGGTAGAGTTATAAAAACAGAGAGCCTACTGGCTAGACTTTGAATAGGTAATATATTTAAATTTTACTGAGTTTGAGTTAAGAGGAGGAAGCCAAGAAACTCTTATTAAGTGTCAGGATCAGCTAATATCATTCAATTTATAGTATTTGTACTGATGAAACAAGCACAGGATCAGCTAATAATAAATAAAATATATAAAGAGGAAAACTTAGACAAGGCTAAATGAGAATGATGTAGTCTACATGCTACAGAATTGTACACATAGTCCTGCTTAAAAGAAATGAAGAAACTTAGGCTGGGTGCTGTTGCTCACACCTGTAATCGCAGCAGTTTGGGAGGACAAGACATGTAAATTGCTTGAGCACAGAAGTTCGAGACCAGCCTGGGCAACATGGTGAAACCCCATCTCTACAAAAAGTAGAAAAATTAGCTGACTGTGATTGTACATGCCTGTGGTCCCAGATACTCAGAAGGCTAAAGTGGAAGGATTGCTTGATCCTGGAAAGCAGAGGTTGCAGTGAGCCATAATTGTGCCACTGTACTCCAGACTAGGCAACAGAGGGAGACCCTGTCTCACCAAAAAGAAAAAAAAAAAAAAAAAAAAAGAAATTAAGAAACTTAGAAAATAGAAAAATTATTATAATATCATCCACCCATCATCCATCCATAGGCATGTATTTTTAATTTAATTGCTACTTCTGTTTAATAAATTTATTGAGGCATTTTATTTTATACTTATAATTTTGTCAACAAGTTGGAAGGTAAATACTCTTGAGGAAGTTTACATCTTCATGCATTAGTCATTAAATACGGGAAACACAGGTGGACTTGTTAGTAACTTTTATGCCCAAAACATGTTGTTATATCTTCTATACAATAACATTTAAAGGACTTTCAGAATGGAAGCGTATTTCTATTTTGTTTATTTTCTTTGCTTTATCTGGGCTGAAGTAACTTGAGATAATCTATCTTATCACCTGACCATTACAAGCTTATATTTATTCTTAAAAAACAAAATATTACATTGAGAGATCATTATATTCTTTTGCTTCCTCTTATAATGTCCACTTAAAAAATTCACTTTCACATTACCTGTTTAAAAAATGTTTCTGTTTCTATATTAGGTCCTACATTAGAGATCACCAAGCAAGACTTTTTTCAAGAAGCAAAAACTCTCATTGCCCAGCATTATGAGAAAATAAATGAGGTTATTGCTTTGCATTTATCTAATATTACATTTTTAAGTTTTTGCATACTACAATGATTATTCCAAATGATTGCATAAACCCTAATTTGTGATTGAGGAAATAGAAAAGAGAGGCTGGGCACAGTGGCTCACATCTGTATTCCCAGCACTTTGGGAGGCCCAGGTGGGTGGATCACGAGGTCAGGAGTTCCAGACTAGCTTGACCAACATGGTGAAACCCTGTCTCTACTAAAAATACAAAAAATTAGCCAGGCATGGTGGTGGATGCCTGTAGTCCCAGCTACTCTGGAGGCTGGGGCAGAAAATTGCTTGAATCCAAGAGACAGAGGTTGCAGATCATGCCACAGTATTCCAGCCTGGGTGACAGAGTGAGACCCCATCTCAAAAACAAAACAAACAAACAGAAATAGAAAAGATAATAGAATTGAGAAAAATGAAATCCTCACTAGCTATAAAATAGATTTTATATGACGTTTTAAAATAAGACTTTTTAGTTACACAAATTTTAATTATACAAATGTGTTTGATTTGTACATTTAATACAATTTAAAATTTTTGAAGAATTTTAAATAATTGGATTTTTCATCTCAAGTAAATATCCCTTTAAATACTGTTTAGACAAAGCTAAACTAAAAAATATATTGTGAGATGAGTGCTTTTTATACCCTTAGCATTACCATGCTTACCTGTATCTTCCATTATCTTTCATACATCTTTTTGCATTACAATTGTCTATTTGCTGGTCTGATAGCTCCTTGAGGGCATAGACTGGTTTTTGAATGTTGTATCTCTAGCAATAATGATTGTACCTGGCTCAATAAATATTTGCTGAATAGCATATATTTGCAAAGTGGGAAGAAGGAGTGGAAGGGAAAGGGATAGCAAAGAGATGGAGGAGGGTGAGCACAGGGTGACATTTTGGAGGAGAGCATCTATAGAGGAGGCAGCAAATTTGTGGAAGGGGCAACTATTGTGACAGATGAGCCTTTGGGAAGACAAGTGAGGGGAGGTTACCTTCGATGGGTTACTGTGTGTCAGATGATCCTAGTCCTCTTTTGAATACTTAAAAAAATCTTTAAACAAAGTTTTAAATAAGATTTTAAATATTTTTCAATATTTCTTGTAGTCAGGGAGGAGGATTCTAATTTTTATTTATGTTTCTTTTGAATGGTCCTCTTTACCAAGACAGTCTTCATGGTTAGACAGATATGCCTTGGAAACTTTACCCGTTTTAAAATTTTTATCTATTAATAATAGCCCAGTGTTCCACCTTAGGTTCCTGGGAAAATGTAATATTAGCACACTAAAACCTCCTTATTGACATTTGAATCGGCAACAATTTGAATTTTTCTAAACCTTTTTTTAGGCATGTGTGTTGTTGGGGGCATAGGGAAGAACTATAGTTCTATCTGTGTGTAGAATAATTATGCTGTTTGGATAATTACCTGTCAGAGATCCAGAGCTGTATTATTCTCCTGTTGTTCAAGGTGGTCAAAATTAGGAAGCAGTTATGATTAAAAGGGTATGAAATGTATGTCCTATTACCAATACGCTGTTTTTGAGAGCTTACCTCCATATATGTTCACTTATTTCTGGTTCAGCAAAGAAAGAGGTTTGAGGGGTGTTAGCATTTTATGGCTATCTAAAAGTTCTTCAAAGATGGTTGAAAATAATTTGATTCCTATATTAAATTGTCTATTTGAAAAACTCCTATTTTACAATGGACTTTGAAACCCGTATTTTAAAATATCACTTTGAGGAGAAAGTTGCTATTTTAAAATTTACATTTCTTTCAAAGTAGAATATAATGCTTATGGTTGTGAAGGACTTTTGGAGAATGACATAGAAAAACATCTGATTTAGTTGGCTACTGTCATTTGTAATTTACATTAGAGTAGATGTCTTATACAGTAAGGTACTTTGTAAAATGTTTCTAGTAGAGATGCAATTTTGTGAACTTATTAATAAAATGTATTATATAAAATTATTAAATAATGCGTACTAAAATTTTGCCAACATGTATTTTTGTTTTATTCATAGAATAAAGTTCAAGGTACTTCTGTAAATGTTTTTAGAAAGAAACACCAAAAACCGAAATGTGGCAAATACATACCTTTGGAGATTGACAAAAACGAAACACATGATGTGCTGCAAGAACATCGGGCAGTGCTCAGAAGGATTTGCTTTCCCAAGGAGCTTTCCAAAAGTGGACATCTTCAGGAATCCCTACCACCAATCTCCTTCAAGGAACCACACATTTTTAATAGAAGAGAAAAATGCAGGCCCATAGATCTAATTACAAAAGGTAAGTTTTTGGTGTAGTGAAGAAATTTAGCAAACCCATGGCAAAACTGTTTGCTTCTTATGTGCCTGTAATGGAATTTTCTTGTTCAAACAATTCCCTGAATTTTAAATCTTAACAATGAAAGGCAGGGAGGTCTGATTAATAGAGCTGCTAATCTCTGGGGACCACCAGGAATTGAGAAGAATGCATTCTAAGGGGAAAGAGAAATTTAGGGGAACAAAACTGGTTAGCCATGTCTTCCAGAAGTGATCTTCTTCCTAGATAAAATCCTCAGAGACTGTTTATTTCGCAGATGCTAAAGCAGCCGTGGACGATAGCCCTGAATTCTGTTTTTGAGCAGGATTGATAGGATAGGCAACTTACTCATGAGTATGTTTCCTCAAAACCCTAAAAAGATTTTTGGAAGCTACAGAGCTTTCCCATAAAAGAAATTGTAAAGATTTGTCCTCTATGGGGAACATGGTAAGGTATAAACTAGAGATTGATTTAAGCAAAGTGATATTGTTTTCCTGAAACTAATGGCTTGAATACATGACCACTTAGAATACATTTCTAGTATAGCTTCCACAGCCTTATCTTATTTCTTTCCTTTTCTGTTATTTCTGAATATGTTTATTCATTCATGCACTCATTTGTAGTTTTCCTAATCAACAAAGATTGACTGCTCTGTGCCAGGCACTAAGTTAGGAGCTGGAGAAACAGAGATTAAAAGGCTCAGAGAGTAATGGTGAGAATAAACACAGGGTAATTTCTCACTATACGGTGTAACAGTTGTAATAGAGGTCAGTGCGAAGCATTATGGAAACACTGAGGAGTAACCAACCAAGGGCTAGACTGAAATTTATCAGAAGAAATATCTTTAGAACTGGGTTTTCAGGAGAAGCAGAATGGAAACAGGAGAGGCCATTTTGAGCTGCAGGAACAAAATGTATTAAAGCTCTGAAGGATGAAAGAACACAATATCTTTTGGGAAAGGAGAGATGTGGTAGGAAATAAAGTTTGGAAGGTGGGTAGGGCTAGAGTTTGAAGGGAATATAATAGTCAACCTAGGATATGAACTTATGTTTAATGGAAAGACAATGGTGATTTTAAATCTATAGGTGGGGGAAGGGGTGAGGTATGATCAGATCTTTCTGTTAGAAAAATAAAATTGGCAGCAGAGACTGTAGAGAGTGATGACAGAGAGCTAAGTGAGGAGTCTGTTCAGGCTGTTCTGTGAGAGATGACAGGGCCTGAATTAGGGCAGTAGGGAAGCATAAAGTGTGGGGAAGGGCTGTTCCATCAGCCTTTCTGAAAGCATGTTCCTCAGAATGTTAGTCCTGAGTAATTCAGTGACCCTAACAAAGGATTCTTTGGTTAGATACATTTAAAAAATGCATATTATATTCCTTATTGGAGATTCATACTAATTATTAATATATTGAAATGTCTGGGAAATACTGTAGAAAAGAAATCTGTTTACTGTTTTTAACCTTGCTACCCCAGTTCATTTGGGCAAAGAACCCTTATATTTTTCACATTGTACCAATGAATGTCCTTGATACTACTGTTCTTTTTAATACATTTTGGTATATTCAGAATTAGTGGATTATTTTAGGATGAGTAAACTGGCTTTTGAAAAATCAACTGATTGTGTAATGAAAATGAAGATGTTAAAGATATTGACATTTCTAGACTGGCAAACTGGACAAAAGTCCTTAGGTTGAGATAGAAATTTAGAGGGTGTCTTAATCTGTTCTTGCTGCTATAACAAAATGCCTGAATAATTCATAAACATGTGAAATTTATAGCTCATAGTTATGGAGACTGGGAAATCCTAGGTCAAGGTACTAACTAGCAGGTTCAGTGTTTTGTAAGGGGTCCAGTCTATGCTTCCAAGATGGCACCTTGAATGCTGTGTCCTCTGGAGAGGACAAAAGCTGTGTTCTCACATGGTAGAAGGGATGGAAGGGAAAAACGTAAGCAGCTCTCTGAAGCCTCTTTTATAAGGGCATTATTCTCATTTATGAGGGTGAAGCCCTCATAGCTTAATCACTTTCTCAAAGGTCCTATCTCTTAATACTGTCACATTGGATTCCAACATGAATTTTGAAGAGATGCAAACATTTGAACCACAATAAATGGAGAAACAGATTTTGGGCAGGTAGGGAAAGGGGTGGGGGGAAATAACGAATTCAGTTTTAGACCTGTTAAGTAGACACACATGTGTCTAAATAGCACATGTGTATCTACTTCCTAAATAGCCATTAGGAAATTGGCAACACATGTGTCTACTTCCTAACTAGCCATTAGGAAGTTGGAAAAGGAGATCTAGCCCTGGAGAGGTAGGTGAAGATTGAAGATAGGTGTGAGGGGTCACTACCATACTGAAATTGTGGGGCTCATGCATTTTTTCACCTAACACTTGTTTAATATGTGAAGTATGAGAGACAAAAGATATGCTGCTTACCCACAAGAAATTCAAATTTGATATATGTAGTTTTTGCAGTAGCATTGAAAGAGGATAAATAGACAATGATAGTAGTATGACTCTTACTATAATAGAAAGACACTCTACTGCTTTAAAATGAATAGGAGGATATCTGATTCAGATTCAGGGGTCAGGAATGGATTTCCAGGAAATTTAAAGTCTGGTAAATTTTGAAGGATAAATGAATGTCAACTCAAAAAAGAAAGAAAGTTTTTTCTAGCTAGAGGGCCTACCATCTACCTGATAGTGGATATCTGAAAGTGATTATGATGTTATTGACAGAATTACTTGATTTTACATGACTGAAACATGAGGACTGGGGAGGGATTGGAGATAACAGACTAAATACTGAAGAACGTTGAACCTAAAAGCTGAGAGAACCATTGAAATGTTTTAAAGAGAAGTTGCAGTGATAACATTTGTATTTTAACATGTTTATTGGCTCTAGAAATGGGGTGTGATGGACTTTAGAGGCATAGAAACCAATAAGGAGATAGTAATTCACATGAGGAAAGGCATCTTAAATGAAGGTAGTAGCACTGGGATACTGCTGAGGGGAGAGATTTTACAGATATTAGAAAGGTAGAGTTATTTGACTTGGTCAACAAAAAAGTAAAGCATAAAGCACAGGAAAGAGATGTGGTGCTGCGTTAGTGGTTTATACTAAGTGGCAGCATGAAGCCAGGTATAGCAAACTAGAAGGTTGGAGATGCACCTTACGTAATGGCAAAAACTGCCACCAGCAGTAAGTTGGAATCTAGACCTTGTACCTACTGAGCTTTGTAGCTTTAGGTAAGGAAGTTGGAAAATGCATTATTAGCATACATTGGTTGTTTCTGGCTGCCTTTGGGAAGTTATTAGAAACATGAGATAAACTGAGAAAAATCCTGGCTAGTTTCCAATTAGAAATGAAAGGGCATAGAGAGATACTAGGTACTTGGGGCCTTGGTTTTGAGCAAATATCTATTAAGACTTAATATTGCAGCAAAAAGCATATTAAAAGTACATCTTTCACCACCAGCCCATTATCTCAGATACCCTCATGGCAGTCACTATTGAGAGACTAATCCAAGGGGTAAGAAAAGAAAGATACAAAGGAGATTTTAGAACAATATATTTAAAAAATGACTTTGAATGTGGTTATTGTCATGCAGAATTAATCGGAAGCAAATAGGTTTAAAAGTCTAATAGACTTTTTAGAGAATTATATTCCCAAAGAAACCATGAACCTTGATGTAATTGAATGTTCAAAAAGTAGGATAATCTAGATTTATCGGGAAGTGGGTGACACAAGCCATACAACCTCCAAATGGGGTAATAGCAAGGCATGGCTGAGGAGCAAGTAAAAGGCTTCTCAGAGAGTGGATCCAGAGGCCACTAAAAAAAAATGAAGAGAGTGCTTCCTAGAGAAAAAATCATTGTCTATTCCAGGAATTTCCCCGCCTCCAGGATAGGGGGCCTTCTCAGTGACTTTCCAATAGAATTTTGTAACATCTTTGTACTGGTGACTATTGTGTTTACTTTCTTCCCTTTCACTAATGGAGTTTTTACTGAGGTTATCCTGTATCTGCTCTATTATTGTATGTTATATGCTTTGGGGAAGGTAAAGATACTTTCTGTATTTGTTTTTCATATTACTGGACCATAAGGAGCCACATCTGGACTTGTTGGAGAAAACTACACAGCAGCTGGAGGTCCTGCTCTCTGAGCTGGATGCAGTGCCTAGGGGGAACTTTGGGTTGTCTTCTTTAGGGAGAGGAAAGATGTGCTCTGTAAAGGAACAAGAAGGAATGAATATTTAGTGTCCAAAAAGAACAGGCTGTAGCAGAAACTGGATAGATGCTCATCAAACTTACATGTTTTCTTCCTTGGTACTTGGAAAATAGGTGGGGCTATGTGACAGATTTGTCTCAGTGGATTATAGCTGGAAGTGATGCACACTCATAAAAGTGTCATGTGTTCTCCTCCCAGTGTGGCTCCCCACATTTTCAAGTAGGAGGACTTCTTTTCAATATTCTTAAAATAATTGCAGTTTCACTCATGAGACAGTGGTAATAGTACTTTTAACATGTCTTGATTGAAAAACTTAATTCAGATATGCAGTGAATATATAAAGCTCAGTTCCGATAATACAGAGGAGAAAAATGGACATAAATTGTGTCCTCATGGAACTTGTGATCTGGCTAGGGAAACAGATATAAATTAATAATCACATATATACAGATTGAAAGTACATCACAAATAAATTGGACCTGGACTGGGTGTCAGCGAGACTTCCTAAAGGAAATGACATTTGAGCTAAAATATAAATGATGCATAGGAATTACTCAAAGATTGGGGTGTTTGAGGCAATTGAAAAATAATTTGCGGCCGGGCGCGGTGGCTCAAGCCTGTAATCCCAGCACTTTGGGAGGCCGAGGCGGGTGGATCACGAGGTCAAGAGATCGAGACCATCCTGGTCAACATGGTGAAACCCTTTCTCTACTAAAAAACTACAAAAAAATTAGCTGGGCATGGTGGCGCGTGCCTG